CTACATTTTCAGCAATGGATCTGCATTTTTTTTTTTTTAAAGAATTGGAGTTCCTGCAGGCTGAGAAGGGAAACTCCATTTGAACTGGTTAATGGTAGTACTTCCATTGCCCTTAGTGTGCAGTCCTATGCATTTACATAGCCACTACTGGCTCAAAGGTCCAGTGGTTTCAAATGTCTCCTCCACTCCACACTATGCTGGTGTCCAGGTGGTTGGAGAACAGGTTAGAGTGACTTTATAACTTTGAAGGGAAGGCATTGTTCTTGGCTGTGGGCTGGTTGGTCTCTGCATGCTGTACAGCACGTATTGTATGCTCTGAAGTATGCTGTATAAATAAACTGGTTACTAGCTTTTTTTTTTTTTCCAGAATAGAACAGTGGTTAAGAGCATTTGCTTTGGAGTCAGACTGATTTTAATTGCAATCTCTACTCTGTCCGTTATTAATAGCATTCTTAAACCGGACACTTTACTACCCTAAGCTTCGTTTTTTGTATCTTTATAAAGGAGATATTGATAACTATCACCGGCTTTGAGGAAGTAATTAGCATAGTGCCAAACTCATAATTAGTTCACTTTCCAGTGTTTCTTTTTAGCTTCTTCTAGTTATTAGATTGCTTCTTTATGGGAAGTTACATCATTGCATTCTTTGGACTCATATGCTTAATCTCCAATCTCTTCTCTTCTCCCGCCAAAATTTAGCAGTCCTTGGTTCTGTGTTCTTAGGATCCTGTCAAAATGTCTGGTGTAGATTGGGGAAAAGCCTTTGTCATTCTCTCAGAAGCAGTATGTTGCAAAGGAATGAGCACAGATCTTGAAATCAAGAATCTGTTGCTTGCAGATTTTATAGGATGCATCTCAATCCAAGCAACTTCTAATCAGACCAGCATATGACCACAGTCTTCAAGAAAGGAAATGAGTTAGAAGGCAGTGGAAATGGAAGAGTTTTCTGTTTGTGCTTCCAAATCAAATTAACTTGTCCTGTTCAGGAGAAGGATACTCCCTTGATCTATTCAATATATAGCTTCTCATGTGTATTCCAAAAAGAACTGATTCCAGATGTTTCAGATTTGCTGCTTATGGTATGGTTGGTTATTTGATACCTTTCTCTAAGGTGTTCAGCATTTTCCCTAGAGGTAGATAGTTTGTTTCACTTTGAAAATTGTTTGGAAAAAAAAATAACAGTCAGACTCTATCTTCCTATCTGACTTGCTCCAGGGACCTGAAACTACTCTAATTCCTGTGGTTACAGAATGGAGAAGAGACCTTGATATGAAGTCAGTGTGGTGCAATTTATCTTTACAGGGGACAGTTTTTTTTTTTTTTTTCCAGGATAGATTGTCGAGGATTTGGCCTGAGTAAGAGGGGTTTCTGGTCAGATCTCTATGCAGTGACACTCCTGCTGCAGGAGTCTCTGAAGTTAATCTCAAACAATGTGGAGCTACATCATAAAGTGTTAGCTATAAAAGGTGCTTTGCTCATGATAGCAAGTGCTATGGTTTGAATTTGGTTTGTCTCCAAGGGTCCATGTATTGGAAATTTGCTCCCCAGTGTGGAGGTGGTAGAAACTATAAGAGGTGAGGCCTAGGGGGAGGTCCTTAGAGCAATGAAGAGGTGTGTCCTTAAAAGAGCTGAAAGTCTTTTTTCAGGGACCCTTTTTAGTTCATGAGAAGGGACTGTTGTAATAGCCTGAGCCTGGCCCCAGCCAGCTCTCTGACTTTCTCTGACATGTTCTCCTGCCATGCCTTTGCTAAGGCCTGTGCCATGCCATTTGAACTTTCAGCCTCCAGGACTGTGAACTAAATGAAACTCTATACATTTGGTCTACCTCAGGTATTTCATTAGAGCTACAAAAAGCTAACTAACTCAGCTTTCAATGCAATTATAATTTTTGTTTTTCCCATTTGGAATACCACTTATCACAATCAAATCTACGTATAACCTGGCTTAACTCTTATCTATCTCAAGATCTGCTTTTCCTTCTTCTCTGAAAAGCCTTACCTGAAGCATTAGAAAAATTAGTCACTCTGCCTACATGGTTCTTTTCTAGCTAGCTCTGACTTTAATTGTAAGATATCTGTATAGCATTTATATATTACTCTTCTCTTCTAGACTGTAAGCTCTTTCTAGGCAAGAGCCATGCCTGATTTTTCTATGCTAGCCACTGAATGAAACTGAGGTTGATGAAGAGACATACTTGATAAGTAAGTTGGATAATCATTTGCAACACTTTTCAGAAAAAAGAATAAAAGCATAAAAGACTTAGATGACTCGGAAGAAGAGAAAGGGAACTTAATTTATTGAATGCCTAATGTCATTTAATATAGAATAATTTATTTGTTCCTCATGGCACCTCTAGGAAAAAATATTGTCTTAATTTTACAGAACAGGAACCGAAGTTCAGAAGTATAATAGATATATCTAAAGTATACAAATAAGAATGGATGAATTCAGAAATTAATTTAAATCTGTGTGCTTCTGTACTCTTTGTCTTCTTATTGTACTTTCCTGCTTCTTAAAGAGATTAGATCCCACAGTGTGTTTATGCTCCCAGTGAACACAGTTTCTGGAATTTTGATTTGTTTTGTTCTCTTGTCAGAAGGGAATGTTCCATTGCCCCTGAAATACACTAGGTTTACTTCCAACATAAAGGATGATATGACAGCAGAGAGCCCAAAAATTGGATTATATTTTTGCCTTCTAATAGGTGAAAGGACTGTACTCAAATAGTATCTTTTTTTTTCTTTTGCTTCTTTAGTTTTGTGTCCATTTTACTATTTATTTGTTTATTTATTTTATTAGTTCTAATCAGTTATACATGACAGCAGAAAGCTTTTCCATTTATTGTACATAGATGGAGCAGAATTTTTCACTTTTCTGTTTGTCCATGAAATAGTCACATCATTCATACAATCATACATGTACCTAGGGTAATGATGTCCATCTCTTTCCACCATCTTTCCTACACCTATACCTGCTACCTCCTTCCCTTTGCCCCATCCAAAGTTCCTCCACTTATCCCATGCACGCCCCCACCCCCACCCCTTTACAGATTCGCATTTACTTATCAGAAAAAAACATTGAGCTCCTGTTTTGGGGGGGTTGGCTTATTTTGCTTAGCATGATATTCTCCAACTCCATCTATTTACCTGCAAATGCCATAATTTTATTCTCTTTTAATGCTGAGTAATATTGCATTGTGTATATATACTACAGTTTCTTTATCCATTTATTTATTGAAGGGCATCTAGGTTGGTTCCATAATTTAGCTATTGTGAATTGTGCAGCTATAAACATTGAAGTGGCTGTGTCACTGTAGTATGCTGATTTTAAGTCCTTTGGGTATAAAATGAGGAGTGGGATGGCTGGGTCAAATGGTGGTTCCATTCCAAGTTATCTAAGGAATCTCCATACTGCTTTCCAGACTGGTTGCACCAATTTACAGTTCCACCAGCAATATATGAATGTGCCTTTTGTCTCATGTCCTCACCAACACTTATTGTTGTTTGTATTCTTCATAGCTTTCATTCTGACTGGAGTGAGATGAAAGCTTAGAGTAGCTTTGATTTGCATTTCTCTAATTACTAGTGATATTGAACATTTTTTCATATATTTATTGATCAATTGTATATCTTCTTCTGAGAAGTGTCTGTTCAGCTCCTTAAACCATGTATTGATTGGGTTGTTTGTTTTTTGAGTTCTTTATATATCCTAGAGATTAGTGTGCTATCTGATGTGTATGTGGCAAAAATTTGCTCCCTACATTTAGGCTCACTCTTCACCTCATTCATTGTTTCTTTTGCTAAGAATAAGCCTTTCAGTCTGAATTCATCCCATTTATTATTTCTCTATTTTATATCTTGTGCTTTAGGAGTCTTATTAAGGAAGTCGGGCCTATTCCAACATGATGAAGATTTGGGTCTACTTTTTTCTCTATTAGACACAGGGTCTATGGTCTAATTCCTAGATCCTTGATCTACTTTGAGTTGCGTTTTGTGCATGGTGAGAGTTAGGGGTTTAGTTTCATTTTGCTGCATATGAATTTCCAGTTTTACCATCACCTAAATGGTATATATTTTTAAATTTTATCAATGTATGCTGGATATAAAATAAGTCACACATATTGAAGTATGTAATCTGTTAAGTTTTGATGTAAATATATATCTGTGAAAAAAAAAGCACCACAATCAAGATAATGAAATAACTGTCATTCCCTAACATTTTCTTGTGTCTTTGGCTAGGACCTCCAGCAGAGAGGGGAGTTAAAGTGATGAGAAAGGATCCTCAAATTGATCCTCATATTAGGGGAAAGCCTTCTAACTTTGCTATTCTGTATGATTCCACCTTAGGATTTTTGCAGATGAGTTTGGTTTAAAGGTATTCCCTTATATGCCTAGTTTGATTTTTTTTTTTAATTTAGGTAGATCATTTTTTGGAAAATGTTGAGATGATGATATGATTTTTCCTGACAATCTCTCAGGACTCTTTCTAGCTTTTAGATTCTATGATTATAGGTTATTTAAGTATTTAAACCTATCTTAAAATGATAAGATAGTATTTCCTTAGATACTTAAATCCAAAGGCTAATAACTAAAGATGGTATAAATGTATGGTATATTAGTTCAGCAAATCTGTAATTCCGAGATATCTAACCAAAGTTCTTTCCATTACCATACAAACAAATCATGTGTCCTTTAATGCTTGTTTATTTGTTTTACATAAGATTCGTTCCCAGTTATAGAGAATTTAGTAGGATTTGGGAGGATCCATGCAACTGTATCTGAAGTGAAAGGAACAGTTTTCTCTCTCTCCCCTCCCCAGATCCCTTATTTTGTCTCTTTGGCCAGCTTGTTTCTCTTCCTCCCTCCCTGGCAACCATTGATTTATCTTCATCCTTATAACAAAAATAAGATTTAATTTATTTTCAAAATTTTTGTCTTTTTCTAAATATTATATCTATGAAATCATACAATACACATTCTTTTGAGATTAGCTTCTTCTACCTGGTAAAATGCATTTGTGATGTTGATGGTATATCTTGTATGAATGACTTAGGAGTCTATTTTCCCACCAACTGCCTGAAAGTAAAAGAAAATAAGCTGTTGGAAGTGTGGTATACTTATCAAAAGAAAATGAACCAAGATACATAATGGTGATGTGGGAGAAGCTTCTTATTTACTTTGCTGCAGTGCTGATGTCATATTTGTCATCAATATGTAGAAAACAAAAGCGAACAAACTGTGGACTATTTCATCCATAGATAATGATATCGTTCAATCACGCAAGCAGGAGTGACCTATACTGGGTCCACATCTGTGCTGCTATTTCTATCTATATTCTATTGTCACTTTCTCTTTTGTGTGTACAGAAGTAATTCATTGATTTCTCGTTCCATGAATTATGGTTGTATAGAATAGCACTGCTGTATGTATAGCCTATATCATAATCAGGATAATATAATTAAACAGAGAACGGGTAGGAGGAGTCGGATGTAATGAATAGATTTCCATTTTTCTCTATAATGAGGGGTCATTTTCAGCTCAGGCCTGCATAGGTCAGATACTCTGACAGAACAGGATTATAGGAAAAGAGCAGCATGGGACCCAGGAGAAGGATTAGACAATGACAGGAAAAAGAGTAGATATAACCCATCTCATTTGCTTAGCCATCTCCCTCTCTTAAGTTTTCACTAAACCTTTGGAAAAAGGATGAAAAGGACATAACTATCAAGTATCCATTGTATAAAATGTACAGTTGAATATGCATTTTGCTTTATTATGCATTTCTCAGACTGTATATTGTTAGTTCATCATATAGGTTCACCTCTCAATTTGTCTTGATAAGGTCCTGAATTAAAATAACAAACAAGCAAACAAACACACCCCAAACTCCCCAGAGGTTGTTGGAGACTGGTGGGTGCATCTCAGCATCTCAGGAGGAGTCCTCTACCACCACAGAACAAGTCAGTCCTAATTGGTAGCTAGGAAGCCTTCAGGGTAGTTAATGTGAGGGGAGGGGTGAGTTCAGGGGTGGGGTTGGGAGATTGACAGTGACACTATGAAGGGCATTTTGGAGTCAAGTTCCCTCCCCCCAAGACAGCAGGGGGCAAATTGCTAGGCAAAAGCAGCCCAAACTTACAACAAAAGCTGTCAGGCACTCATTCACAGCAAATGTCAGACTCCAGACACCAACTGCTAATGTGTTAGAAACGCTGATTAGGGATTACTGAAGCTGCCTATAAACTTTATATTACCATTATTTAAGAAAGTCAGAAGTGAGCTGATTTTAATTCCACCAACATTTTATGTTTTTCTTATAGATTTCAAGTCTGTGAAAAGTCACCATTTATGAAATTTAGATGAGAGATACATTATAATGAATACATTATAAAAGAAGGAATCAGGTATTCATGAATACAAACATCAACATTAGATTGTATGTATTTGGAATTGATGTGCATGATGTACACGAAAATCATACCTGCAAACCAGGTGAGTTCCACAGGGGTAGAATGTTATTGTTTTCTTAGCTGGTGTACTCCAAGCCTCTAGAACACTTTGGTGCAAAAAATAAAGTGTCAGTAAATATTGGTTAAATTAAAGTAGATCAGAAAATAAAGTAAGACTAAATATGCAAACAAGAACATTTATATAATGGATATTGTTTGGGCAAGAAATTTGGCTTTGAACTTCCTTGAAGAAAGTTCTAAAGTGAAAATGAAATTATACTTGCTTAAATAGCTTATGTTGTCAAAGAGAAGAAAGGATACCATTCATTAGGGGAAATTAAGCATTGGCCCACACTACAAGAAATTCCTAGTGTGGGAATTTATAAGAAGAAATACAGTACTAATTTTTTAGGGATTTTTTTTATAGCAATCGTCAGTGAAAATTGGGAGCATAATGCTAAACTTTAGCGTATCAAAGGTAATCATGAAATGGATTTGGATAATATTCCTTCTATTTTAAGAAGGGAAGAAGTGGGAGGTAACAGCAAGGAGCAGTATGTATAATTGTACAGGTAGGCAAAATCCTACTGTGGTTGAAAATGGCCTCTCAAAAAATAGAAATTATTTTCCATTTTGCTTTTTAGCCATTGCCTTAATCATTTACTCATTCAGAATCATTTATTAATCACTTGGGTTGCTGTGACTGACAAAGGCCAATGTAGTCCTGTTCTAAGGGAGCTCTAAATCTGATGAGGGGGCAAAACAAGTCAATCAGCCACTAAGAAGCATTGCTATGAACAAGGTCCCCATGGTGTGTGTGTGGGGGGAACATAGGAGAGGCACTTAAACTAAGCTTGAGTAAATGTTGGTTTCCCAGGAGACTGGGGAGCTGTATTTTAAAGGTAGCTTTGAGTTTGCGGAAGGAACACATGGGAGAAGTGGCTGCAGGCTGAGGAAATGCACATACACTGGGAAAGTAGTTACTGGTGGGAGTGGGGAGTGGTGCAGAAGCTCAGTCCTGCTCCTGTGGATTAAGGAGAGAGGTAGGTAGAAGTTAAGCAATGAAGGGCCTGGTAGGCTAAGATAAGAACTTTGAACTTTCTTCTGAAAGCTATGAGCAGCCATGATCATTGGCAAGATGGAATCTTAGTGGTTAAAAGGAATTTTTTCTTGCATGACTGGTGATTTTAAATTTGGCTGAAGAGCAATCTTAATGCTATCTTAATGCTAACTTAATGCTAACTACCTTTAGTTATGAGAGGTAGTTATTGATAACTACTGAATAACTACTTAATCTTAATGCTAACTACCTTTAGTTATGAGGGATAGTTATTAATAATTTCTTTTAAGTCAGATGAGGGAGGAATTTTCCTCCTTGGTGCATTATGGGACTAGCCAGTCTGCAGGATTGTTCTCATCAATGTAAAGAAATGATTCAAAGAAAGAAGTGACTTCACCAAAGACATACAGACCTGGGAATCTGACCTCATTCAGAGCACACTATAATGTGGTGAAAGGACAGAGCTTCAGTCCCTTCATTATAAAATAAAGATAATAATTAACTGCTTAAAAATATAGACTTAAAAAAAAGAAATAAGCCAATCCCGCCCCCCCCCAAAAAAAAGAATATATCCACAGCCATTTTTGAAGTGAAAGGAAATGTGGAAAATTTGAAATCTGGTCCATGCATCAAAAAAAAAAAAAAATATATATATATATAGACTTGAGGTGAAAAGAATGGGAAATGCCTCCAGTTTACTAATGACTTCCAAGTGAGAGGGCTTAGTCAGTGTTTGATACTGAAACGCAAGGTCTCAGTTTTCTGGTTTGGATTGTTTTCCAGAAGTTCGTTTGGGTGGGTAGCATTCACATTAAGGGCCTCTGCTTGTCCTTTCTTTGAGTCTGCAGTATCCAAGCTCCTGGATCCAAGCTCCAGTGGTATCTAAGTGGAGTTGGGGTCATTTGGGTCTGTAGAGAGTCTCTGAAAAGTCTCAGAGTAGCAGACCCTATGAGTGACTGAAGTGACAGCAAGTGTCAGAAACACGTGTTTCTCATTGAAAACTCTGGGCAAGAACATTTCAAAGCTTGATACACCCAGGATCTGCCAGTACAGCTGCAGATGGAGGCCTGAAATCATCCGGAACCTGAACACTACTCATTAGGGATGGAAGCTCTTCGAGAGAGCGCTGGGGCCAGAGGGAAGGAGGCTTGAGCTTAAACAAGGAGAGGAGGCAGAGGCATATAGTTGAAACCAGTTTTTCCTTAAAATCAACCCACTCAAATGAAGTCATTATAACGCTAACCAAGGATAACAGCTCTATCAATCAAATCTTTTGCCTTTACAGTTGAGTGAAAGTTGTTTTTTTTTTTTCCCTTCCTTTTATGACCCAAACTGAGAGAGTAGTT